TAAAAACATTCTTGACAAACACACATTTTTTGTTTTGGACAATGTGGGTGATCTTGAAAACACCGTCCATCATTTTGACAATCATTTTCACCTTTGCAATCGTAAGTCATATTAAAATTAAAATGAAAACAATTCGCTTGTCTTTCTTCTGTACATAAACACATAAACGTATAATTATCATGAAAACAAGTAAGATCAGAATGATTTTGACATATATCCTGGTAGTATTTTACACGACGAAGATGTGGATAACCAGCTTTGACTTCATCTAATACTTCTTTTATGTGTCGACAACGTTGTGATTGAGAGATTTGTGTAGAAAAAATAACTGAAGGTGTATAATCATGTTGAAGGATGATAAGATAATACATATTCTTGAATTCGACGAAAACAAGATGAAAGGGTAATGACATGTGTAAAGTTATAGTTTTTTCATTGAACAGAATTTTCTTGAACATAGTTACCTGAATAGGTTCTATTTTTCCGCTTGTAACACCGCGTGGCACAACGTTAATCAAATGAACAAGTAGAGATTGTGGAGCTTCTACATTAGAAAACGACAGATCTATTCTTATATCTGCCTTTTCACATAGTTCGCCAGAGAATCCATTTGGACAAACACATGTAAAGTTAGTTAAAGATTGTCGAGAATCATGTGGTACACAAATACCGTTATTCATACATGCGTTACTCATTCGACAGACTGAATTAAGATAACATCGAGGTCCTGTTTTGTTTAAAGGACATAGACAAATTGATCGATTTTCTTTAAAACCAACACAGATCGAGTTTGATGAACAATCACACTTGTGTTGTATCGTAGAAAATGAATTTGCCCAATTTGAGCATCGGCAAGATTGCATATTATCGTTTGTTAATGATTTTAGATATTTGTCACTACATAATAAATGACAATCTTGTTTTGCTGGAATTATCAATTGAGCACTCATACGATTAACAGGCATGAAAAGAAAGTTTACTAGAAATATCCAACTTGTAATATAAGCAAGATTTACTTTATCATATGCATCAATATAGATTGTATAATTCTTCGTCATATCTTTCGGACGATTGTGATAACGAAGATGCATATTATATTTCGAATTACAATTAATTACTGATTTGTATGTAATTTGTTCATAAGAATGAACAAAACCAGTATGATCAACAAGTCTAATAATAATACCAATTACATTTATATTTTTTAAATTTTCTTGACGTAATCGAATAGTGAGACTGACGCGCTGATTTTGATACTGACAAAGATCACCATAATAACTCTCTGGACAAAGACATTGTTCTGTTTCATTTTTACCAACAAGAATTACAAATCCTTTATTGCATAACAATAATCTTGGATCATTGTTATGCTCAATAGCAGATATCTTCTCAGTTGTTATCATATCATTTTGTGTCTGCTTATGAATTGATAATGACGGTTGGACTGGAGGAAAACTACTTGATGATTTATGAAAGAATGCCTGTCTTCTAAAGGAAATAATATGGTCTATAGAATTTACATATTTAGTAATGTCTAGAATGTTGTCATTAAACCTATCACATATTTGATCAAATTCGTTGGACTTATCGCAATCGTCACAGGCACGCGTAATTGAAGTACATTTTGTATCATTCCAACAGCGATAACGCATAAATTCATTTTCTGGTTGTTGTAATCTACAATGAGATCGCTCATCTGTCGATCCAAGACAATCAATAATCCCATCTTCAATACGATTTATGTGCAAACAATCCATCTTGCGGCTCTGTGGAGATAAACAAGGATGATAATTTGCAGGACATTGAAAACTCGATGAACAATTAATTTCATCAATTCCTTTTGGACACTGCCATGCCCCATTACAACGTGTATATGGATTTACACATGGCCATTGTTCACAATGAGTTTCATCGGTCTCATTTTCTATAGAAACTATATCAACCCAATTATCACAAAAAGAAGAAAAAGGGAGATGATGAATCGTATATACGAAATCGTCAAACAAAAACTCATCTTCCTTGCCAATACATTGCGCCTTTCCATCATCCACAAGCATAGGTGAGAGACATTTCTGTTCAGATGTACATTGAAAACGATGTTTATCA